AAAAAATGCGCGGTGGTTGAAAATTGAAGTTTCGTTTGTGATTTATTTACTCTTTGATTTTGTGCTTCTTAGACTTCCAAAGCATTACAGTCAGTAATGACTATTACCTCTTCTTTTATGAGGAGCCCGTTGTAGCACCGGTTGAGTTGGGAAGTGCCAGTGAAGATGAAAGACCTAATTTCAAAAGACACACATAGTCGATCTCTCAGCTGTTTATTCTGCTTACCTTTTGCCTTTCATCTTATCACACAAAGCAGGAAGTAGGCTCTTCTTTTCCAGGTTCAACTGGTAAATCTCTTTTGGTAACATGTTTAAGGAACCTTCAGAAGAAAATAAGCCTAAATACTTCTGTGTCTTTGGTGAGATGCTGCATGGGCAACTGTTAAAATAATAATCTTCTTAAAATCCCGTAACAGAACATGTATTTGTGCTATCCAATATCTTCCTATCAAAAGACTTATAATTTTTAATTCTTCTATTTGTGTGTAAAAAAAAATGTTTTAAGTCAAAACATTTTAGAAGATACACTTTCTCCTTTTGATTACTGACACTACTTTCAAATCAGTAAGACATGACAAGGTGAACTGCATGAAAAGTCAATAGAATGCCTTTTATTTGGTTTGCAGAGAACCTTACCTCTCCCTACTGAAGATCCCCTTGTCAGTGTGCCGGCCAAACAGTTCAGCTGTTCTGGCCAGTAAACGTTATCCATTCCTTAAAGCAGATGTAGCTTAGGGGCGCCTGGTGGCTCAGTGGTTAAGCGTCCAACTCTTGGTCTTGGCTCAGGCCCTGATCTCAGGGTCATGAGATCAAGCCCCACATTGGGCTCCCTGCTCAGCAGGGAGTCTGCTTGAGATTCTCTCTCCTTTTCCCTCTGCCCCCCTGCTTGTGCTCGCTCTCAAAATAAATAAATCAATCTTAGAAAAGAAAAAGATGTGGCATATGCATATATATACACACACACACAATGGAATATCATTCAGCCATGACGAAGAAGGAAATCTTGCCTTTGAACAACATGGACAAATCTCAAGGGCATTATGCTAAGTGAAATAAGTCAGAGAAGGACAGATACTGCATGGTATCATTCATATATGGAATCTAAAAAAATTTTTTTAGAAAGAAGTCAAATTCTTAGAAGCAGAGAGCAGAAGGGTAGTTGCTAGGGGCAGTGGAGTAGGGGGAAAAGGGGACGGTTGGTAAATGCAAACTTCCAGTTACCAGATGAATAAAAGTCTGAGGATCAAATGTATAACAGTGACTCTAGTTGATACCTGTATTGTATAATTGAAGTTTGCAAAGGGAGTAGGACTTAAATGTTCTCACCAAAATATAAATGAAAACATGCGAGGTGATGGATGTGTTAATTAAATGGGAGGAATTCTTTCACAGTGTATATGTATATCAATCATTACGCAGTACACTTTAAATATCTGGCAATTTTGTCATTCATACCTCAGTAAAGCTGAAAAGAAAAAGGCTATCCATTCCAGCCAAACGATCTCTGAAAAGTAAAGCCTGTGTTCCCATTGACTTTCTTTTTTTTTTTTAAAGGATTTTAGTTATTCATTTGAGACACAGAGATACAGAGAGAGAGAAGAGAAAGCATGAGCAGGGAGAGAGGCAGAGGGAGAGGGAGAAGCAGGCTCCCCGCCGAGCCAGGAGCCCGATGCAGGGCTCGATTCCAGGACCCCGGGACCATGACCCGAGCCGAAGGCAGACGCCTAACCATCTGAGCCACCCAGGCGCCCCTCCCATTGACTTTCAATGAAAAGTAGAAAGTTTACTTATGCCCTCAATTAAAAAAAAATCTCCCAGTAACAAATCTTCAATGAGTTAATGCATATGAATATGCGGTAAGTGTGAGCTACTATTTGCTAGCACAGTTACACTTTTACCAAAAAAAAAAAAAAAATCTGGACCAGATTCCAGCCTTGTTGGGACCCGCAGGCTCCTACACAAAGCTACTGTTTGCTGGAATCACTTTGGAGCCCACAAAGACAAATTGCCCTTGCCTCGAGGGCAGGCTTCCATGGCCCTCCTCCAGAGTCGGGAGCCACACACTGCGAAGTCCTGACTCTCTTCTATCGCTGAAGTCTGGCAGTCAGCCTGGACTCTCTTTCCTTCCTCTGGCCTCTTACTCTGGGGTATCCAGGCCCCGGAGACACAGGGATGATGAACGAGATGCAGCCCCTGCCCTCAGGAAGTATAGGCAGGTCACAGGCAGACTGGAAACCCGTAATTGCAACAGAGTGAAAAATGTGTTTGGAAAGAGCTGTGCAAAGTGCCTCACAGGAACACAGACAAAAGGCACGTAACGCAGACTTCTGGGAGCGTCTGCTCCCATCTTTCTGCCTCCCGGTGCACAAATGACAGCAAGCTGAGGGTCCCGTAACATTTTGACGTTTATTTCAGGAGAATGTAGTTGTCTCCTGTTTCATCAAGGATGTAACTCAGCAATGGTGTAACTTTATATTTAGCTTGAGAGACATCATCTAAAATGCTAAATTACCATTTCCGTTTAAATTACAGGGTTGTCAAGTCAATCAGAAGGTTGGTGTTTACATTGTTTTTCATTATTTCAATATTATTGAATGTAATTTTAGGAGTTTTAGGAGTACAGACTGTGTACCGAATTCCATGGCACAATAAAGAGAGTAAGATGCAAATACAACGACATCCTTCAGCGTTTTCAGTGGCCTGACAGGAGGGTCTTTTTTCAAGATGTGGGCGCCTTGCCTCTAGATAGGGATATGTATGACTTCATTCAGTTTTAAGCTCAAGCCCAATTAGAATGCAGTGTAAGCTTACAGGGTCTGTGCGGTACACAGCTCCGGGGGGACCCTTGGCTTACACTGTGATGTGAGTAGTGCTTCTTAGAGCTTTTAAGTGCTCTGAGCCCCATGGCCTATTTCTCTCGGGATCCCTGGTTACTTTGTTCTGGGAAACCACTTCTTCCCATATCACACTCTCTCATTGCCCCCTTCCCCCTAAATCTCTTTCCCTCAATTACTGGTCTCTATGTAATGTATGTAGGATGGCTGGTAATTGTTTTTAAGAAATGTGGTCGTTAGTCTAGGGAGGAGAGGTGTAAAAATGTGGGGAAAGAGGTACATCTTAGAAGTCTTAAGATGCAGTATTATTACTTTTCTCCACAAATACTTGCACTATAGACAGCTGACCTCACTCACCTTCAAATGTCTGTCATCTCCAAGGCAAGGAGATGTTCTGCAGGAAGGCAGGCACACTTGTCCTAGCCCTGTCTCTGTCTTTAAAAGGTCACACAGTTCTCTGGGCCTCAGTCCCATCACCTGTAGTCTGACGAAATTGGACTCTAGTGCCTTTCAGATTTAACATTATGTAATTCTCAGAAATAAAGAGTAGACAGTCCTAAAAATCCCTCTTCAACACTCCTTTGAGCTCTCCAGATGGTTGATTTTAAACTTTAACATTTCACATGGGTATAGAGTTGCATTTTTCACGGTGAGGACTTAATGTCACTAATACTTCACTAAAGTAGTCAGATGCCCGTGTATACCCACCACACATTGTTCTAGAGGAGTGTGTTTACAACATAACGTAGCTCGCTAGCACTTATTGCTTACTAGATATACTTCTCCTTGGCTGGCTGTTTTGAAATTAAGCCATCGAATGCAGAATGTGATATACACACACCTGTTCAAAAGTCACCTCATCTCAAAATTCTAAGCGTTCTCAAATATATAAAGTTAAACTACAGGGAACAGTTTGCAAGAAACAGTTACAAGCAAAAATTAAATATTTGCTGTAATTGCAAGAAATTCCTGTAGAAATGCAGGAGCAACGCAAGAAGGAATTCTCTAACTAGTCGCCGGTCCCAGCCTGACACAAGGGTCATGGATGTTGCAGGGTCTTTCTTTACTTTTCCCTTGAGCCCCCCTTTCAGGCCATACAGAATCAGTGCCGGGTAGATGCTCAGTGTACTTGCTTCCCTCGCTTTTCCTTGGTTCCCTTTCCTACCCATGTGTCTGCCCCGCCTCCAGAGCCCAGCTCCATTCTGCCGACACCCACTTGGCCAAGGCCCCAGGGATCTCTGGCCCCGATCGACAGCAAAAGGTGGCTTTCACAGTATTACTAAGGGTGTAGGCTTTGCTCTTTTTAATTTTTCAAAGTGGGGCATTTACAAAACAACAAAACCCTTTTTTTTCCCCCCAAATATGGTGGGATCGTGTGGCAGAGCGGCTGGAACAGAGGTTTTAAGGCAGGATGGGGCCTAGTATGTCCGTGGACTGGCAAGGAGGTCCTGGGGGGCTGGAGCCAGGGGAGCGAGTGGGAAGAGGAGGGTGAGAGGGCCAGCTCGTGTAAGATCATCCTGAGGCCCGTTGTGTGGACTTTGACTTTTACTCCGAGTCCTCAAGGAGTCAGTCTGGTGGGAACATAGGCCGATGAACGGACAATTGCCGAATTATCTTCCTAAAACTGTTTTGGAAAAAGGTCACTATATTATCTTAAGATCATGTGCCCTTCTTATTCCCAGCCATAAATATTAGAAAAATAAGCGAAATACTAGTTTTAGTTTGCCCTTTTCTTGATAATTTTACCCCTGAACGTAAAAGCTGAATCTTCATATTGAATATGCATTTTCTAGTTCCTGTGTTACCTTTGATGGCTAACTGTTTCCTTGCAAGTGTCTCTTCGTAGAGTTAAAACACACACTTCTTTAAGAATGACTGTACTCTGAGAGCACGTCTGCTGCTTGTGATTACACATCTGACCTGCACGTTATGCTTGCATATGAGTATTTTTCCTGAATTCAGATGTAACGTTCTGACTTCCTCACCGATGAGTGACAGTCAACCCATCATCCCCAGACAATGAATAGAATCATGAACTTCTGTGGACCATCTTCCTAAAGCTGTTTAGAAAAGGAATTTTCAAAGTAAGGAGGGAGAAGGATGGAGAACGTTCTATGGTGGTCGTGATGTATAAACTGTGTTTCTTTTGTTCTGTTTTACTTCTAGCTACAAGAAAACACACGAAACCCTGAGTCACGCAGGGCAGAAGGCAACTGCAGCTTTCAGCAACGTTGGGACGGCCATCAGCAAGAAGTTTGGAGACATGAGGTACTGTGGGAGAGATCCATGGGGATGCTGCTAAGCCTTTGGCCTTCTAAGGGAAGGGGCGCTTTCTCTATTGGCTGGTCTTCCTAATGTATTCTTTTTTAATTGGATTAACATGTTACTCGGCTGATAACGATTGGTGACTGAGATTGACTTTAATAATGAAGAGTTTTCTGCCTGCTGATTTGCTTAGTAAGCCTGGTCCCAAGCGTGCCCTTTCCACTAGGACATGACCTAATAAAAATGGGAGATCTGGGTCTCCTTTAATTACTGATAACAAGGGGGGGGGATTTCAAAAGAATGCAGCATATCCTCAATTTTATTCACTAAAATTTAAACAGTAAGTTAAATACGCATTCAGTGGAATATGCTCTGATAAACTATTCTAAGTTACATTTTTGTATACATCCATCTAGGATCTTTTTCTATGCTAAATACATACATACTTATTCTTTTATTCCAAAAAAGTACTGTGGTATATAGTCCTTGCACATTTGGGTTATTTTCAGTATTTCATTATATAAAGTTAGGGTGAACGTCAAGATTTTGAACTGAGAACCAATTGTCCTCACTATAGGCGCCAGAAGAAACAGTGCAGTTTTGACCATTTTTATTTTTTACATTATGTTTTAGTAAGTTATCTCCTATAGAGTTGTTACTTTCATTTTTTTTTTTTTGCTTGTTTAAATACCTTTCATAGTTTATTTTGAATTTGGTGATATATTTGGGAGACTTTTCTTTATAAATCAATTTTATCTTTCTCTCTAGAAATCAAATTCATTTTTTAAAAACTTTTGAAGTATATATTTTAAATGTCTTCCTTTTAAAAAAACTGCATATAATTTCACTGGATTCTTAAACTATTTCTTTACTACCCTACAACTTTGATACCTAGAGACAAATATTTATATTGTTGTGTTTAAGTTATTTTTGGCTTCATACATTACTGGATTATGCCCCTGTACTATCTTCACAAGTTGGCATTCATGAGGCTAGAGTTAACTACATGTGCATGAATCTGAATTACATTGTTTTATCTTCATATTTATTGATAATGTGATAATGAAAAGCAACTGAAATTTTTCAGAGGCTGCATGTGATGAATAGGTAAACCTTCTGGATTATTAATTAACCCTCATTTTATTACAAATAAAATTTGCTGTCATGTCAGTGGCATTAAAAACGTTTAAACTAATTAAATAATTTCCCCAAACCTGAAAATACACTCTTACCTGCTATATCCAAGAAAATATATTTTGCCATATTTATAAAATTTGTCCTCCACATTCTTAGTTGAAACCTTTCACTGGAACACTAGAACCACCCCATGATACTAAAGTGTTATTTCTCCAAATTTAGGAGACTTTACAAACACTGCTGAAGCCTATTTAAAGTACATATTCCAGATTCCACCTCTCCAAGATCATGCCTCAGTGGGTCTTGGGTGGAGTCTAGGAATCTGCATTTGTAACAAGCTGTTAAGTGGCTCAACGTCAGGTGGTTAGGTTATGAGGAGGCCACATGTAACTTAGCTCACCTGTACCCAGGTGTTCTCAGTTACGAAATGGGGATAAGAGAAGAGAGCCTGCCATTTATTAAGCACTCAATAAATGCTAGTTTTTATCCTAAGAGACCATCTCAGTTACAAGGTGACCCCACATAATGGAAATGAGGGAGTATACATTAACAGGAGTGCACTGTGGTATTTCATAAAGGTTTTGTTCGTTTTCCTAAGTGGAAAAAAATGAAGACCCTTTCACTTACGCAGTATGTTAACATATTCATGTTCATACACTAATTGGCTATAACATCAAGGTTGTGTTGACTTCTTTTTTTCTGTTTCAGTGCGGCTTTGTTTTAGGGTAATGAATGATCTATTTTCCAGAAGTTTCAAACTTTTCATTAATTGTGTCTCTGTATAGAGGATACAGTACTTTCATTATAAACTGTGGCTAAAAGTACTGGGAAGTATGTCACTGGAGACTCAAATATGGTCCTGTAAAATGTTGTAAGAGTTTGCAAAATTCAGACCTATATTTTTCTCAAACTAAAACATCTAACATATATAAGTGAGGATCAGTCCCTGTGAAAGCAACGAGTTTTACAAAAAATTTTCAGTTTTAAATTACGCTAGAACAAGTAACGTATGTGAAAGTCACATTTGAAAATTACTTACATTCTGTATAATAAAGATTGCTAAATGACAAAAAGTAAGTTTTTATTTTTCATTTAAATTGATTTGCCAATTTATAAAATGATAAGTTTAAAAATTATATCACATTTTACTTTGAACCCTTTTTTAACATAAAATATCGTTTTATCCTATATTCCTGTTATTTATACTATAAAATTCTGTGCGTTCTGGGAAAAAATTTCTGAACTTGCTCAAAAAGATTGCCAGCAAAGTTCAGATACCTCTCAGTTTTTTTTTTTAATTATTACAAGTTAATACTTACAGATTTTAAAAACTTAGAATTCGGGCCTTTTAATAAGTTAATGAAAAGCACTCTGTGAGGATTTAAATTGATGTGTTTTATAAAAACAAGTCATATTTTTCAGGCTAAGATTCTCATTTTATCCTGATTGCCGTTGACTGAGTCCCCACAGCTCCATTAGAGAACTGCCCTCTTTCTTTCTCTACCTGTAAAATGACATTGTTCACAGCTACCTAACTAAAATGCTTCCTGCAAAGGTAAAACAAGGACACATTTATATGAAAGTGCTCTGAAGCAATGCAAGCTCTTGGAATCGTTTTTATAATTATCGCGGCATCTTCTTGGAACTTCTCAGTCATTTGTTCCCACCACGTGTGAACAGGTGGACACGAGGCTCTTTGGAGGAAGCATAGAGCTTTTATTCGAGTCCAACCATCTCTCTATAGTCATGAGAGATGATATGAGAACAATAGTTAGAAGTACAACTTATAAGAGATTGATACAGTAATTGTTAAGACACATTAAAAAGTATACTCCCAAAGAGTAATGAATGGAGTCACGTCATCTTTGCTTTGGGGCTCTTGAGAGGGGGGACAAGGGCACTAAGGTGCTGATATGCTAACTCTGGTCCTGCTCTCTCTTCTGCTTCCCCGGGCTGCAGGTCTCACTCCATCGGGTAAGCGCTGCCTCTAGGGCCCTACTGGCCCCCTTGCTGCTCCCTTCCTTCCCAGCGTCCACTGCTCCCTTCACGCCGTGGGTGTGCCTCAGCCAAAACACTGGGTCTCCTTTCCTGAGAGTGTTCCTGACCAGGGGGTTACAGAGTGTAGGGCTTCTGATGTGATTGGATTTTAAACTTAAGCGTCTAGTTATCTCATGTTGGAATCGTTTATACCAGTCTCACTTGCTGAGCAATCTCTTAGGAACCCCTTCCTACATTGTCAGTCCTTCCCGCATTGGCAGAGGTCCTCAGTATGGAAAGAAGAAAAAAAGAAAAGCAGAAATTGAGAGTTGTATGTTTTTATGAGATGTGTAAAAAGTAAAATCGAGAAACAGGAAATTGTTGTGTTTTTCTGAACGTCTTGTAACTGTTTCTTATGTGGATGGTTCACCTTCAACTTTCTGTACCTTCTGAGGTTGAAGAGGGGAAAGGTTACCAGAAGATCACACGTTTGGAAGTGTGCAGTTGTCTAGTTAAACCCTCCTTCAGCGGGAATCTTATTATATATTTTTTGGGGGGTGGATTTTTTTTCCTAAGAAAACTGCCTATATTTAAAGAGATGAATAGATTGATAATGCTGATGAATTTCTTTTACTAATTCCTTTTTTAATGTAATTTCTGGGGAAATATTTGCCTGTATTTTCTAAGTGGAGTGTCTAAGTGAGACCATAAGTACTCCCTGAATTTTTCTGTCCTTTTCTTTCTGAGTTCTAGTAAAGTGCTGCCCATACTGATGACCTCAGTGGATATTGTCGGGGAAGGATGAGGAGTTTGATCCCTTACTGTTAGCTTCTTGGGAGAAGACGCAGGGATGGTGTTGGAAAGTGTAATGGGGGAGCACTATCCCAGGAACAGGGACCCCATACATAGGGCTTCCTCCTTCATCCCAGCCTGATTTCTGAGTGGAACTCACAAAGGAGTAACAGGTGATCCATCAGAGGGAAGATGAGCCAGCTACCATAGGATCAATAGAGTGAGAAGGCTGAAACTCGTAGAATTCTCAGAAATGTTGATGTATTTGTACCAGATATCCTAGAATGGATGCAGAGGTCCCTGCTCCCATGTTGGACTGTGTAGATTGTATTTGCCTGGTATCTGTTTCCTTGAATGTCTTATGTGAACTACATATATTCCTCTGGAGAGTTCCTCTACAACGGAACAATTAGCTTTCACCTGCCTTTGTACCTTCCTAGGTACAGCCCTTCCTCTCTTAATGAAAGAAGAAAGAAGGGAAGGGAGTGGGAGTTGAACCTGGGGAGGATGTCCACAGGCTCCTGGGCACACCTGGAGAAACCAGACATTCTCCTCAGATTTCCTGGCCTACCGGGAACCCACAGGATGTAAAATAACACCCAGAGAGTACACCCAGTGTACTCTTCCCTTATGCCCTTGAAACCTGACCGTGGCGCATCCTACCCAGCGAGAACAAGCATCATCTTGGTGGGGTGGGCAAGGAATACTTAAGACAGTTGAAATTGCTGTTTTAGAACTGTGAATAGGGAGTTTCTCATGTACTTACGTTGTGCTATCTTCTTTTCTCTTTTTTTTTTTCTTCTTTTAATCTGCTTTTGCCCTGAAGCTACTCCATTCGCCATTCTATAAGTATGCCTGCTATGAGGTAATGTGTGTAAATTACTTTATATAATATCAATGCAGAATGTGTATGTATGAAGTATTACTTTGATAGTTACTTTGCGGGGTTTCCCCCCCTCTTAATATGAAAAGAAATGCAGTGACCTTCCTTACTCTCTTTCCTGACAGCCTTTAGGAGAAAAGGCGGACAGTTCTGTTGAAGTAGCGTATAATGGGCTTCGGCTTCTGACCAAACACACTGGCTTAAGTCCAGTGTC